ACAAAAGAAAGAGTTTGCAATAGTATGCATCATGGTGAGCCATCATAATATGTGTATTTGAGCAGTGTGTTTTTTCAGTCGTAGTCCTTGGGAAACCAAAAAGAAAGAAAGGACCAAAAAAGTAAGGCTGATCACTTGGAAAGTCGAAAGAAAAGATGATTAGTTCATCAGCTGATCCAACTCGGAGCATGGCGAGATGCTTAAGACGTCATTTTTCTCGGTGGCTGCTAACTCAGGCAATGCGTACATCCATGCATCCATGAAAAAGATGGTGGCACGTATATCAAAAACCATGTTCGAGAATTAGACCAAGTGACCAACCATTATTTCATTCTTTTATTTCGACGAGGTCAATGCATGACATATTTTGTACTGGAATGAAGATATAAGCAGTCCACTTCAATTAATGGGAGATGAACACATGGTGTCGACATGATATCCCTCCCGCAGTACACACAGTGTTGCTTGGTGGGCTGTCCCTCGCTCTGAGGCCACACACTTTCCCACCACACTACCTTGTTGCTCGTCGGAGTTGGCGAAAGAGACCAAGGTCCCAGCTCTCGTTCTCACTTTGAAAGTTGCATCTACCGAATTCCTATCGTGGGAATGTTATCATGAGCAAACTAGCATTAAGCTTTCAGACTTGGTGACCGTGGGTGGTGGTGCATCTCGAAGTCGAAGCCGAAGCCATGCCAGCTTGCTTATCTAACGAAGAAGATTTGGGGATGGAGGATAAGAAAATGATAAAAATAGAGTATTAAAATAATATTAAACAAAGGGTAAGATTAAGAACACTTATAAAATTTGAAGTACACACTTTCACTTCATAAATTATGATCTTATTTTATAGGATCTAATGTTAATTATCCCATCCTAACATATTATCTATGATTAAGATGATTAAAGGAACTATCTCAAGACTATAACTTTTTAGATCATGTGTCATTTAGGTAAAACTACGTAGAATATGATTAGAACTATCGAAAACAATAACTACGAATTAATTCTCAATACTCTCTCTATTGATTTATAGTCACATATACCTATTTGAGATATTAAATAAACATGATTCCGAAATGAAAGTGACTTGACGAGAATATCTAAAACTTATTTATATGTTCTACGATCCTTCATTGTTATTGCTCCACTTACTATAATATTCTAGATAAAATGATCGTATATCTTTATATGCTTCGTTCTTTTATGAATATTAGATTCTTCATCTTTATAAGTGTGGCTTTGTTATCACAAAATATTTTAATTATTTATTTTTATTCCTAATGAAGTTTTCAAAAAAAGTCTTTTAAGCCATATTGCTTGATAAGTTATTGATGTTGTAGCTACATATTATGCTTCCGATGTTGATAACACAATTATTGCTTCCTAAGATATAGCTCTTAATCCGAGGTTAAAAATATTAACTGAAGCACTCATTTTATCATCCAAAGCTCTTGCCTAATCACTATAAGTGATAATTCACTCAACTCATGATTATAGATGCACTAGCCCACTACGCCATAGTCCTCAAACGGTATAGGGGGATCTCATACATTGGACTTGTCTGCCCTCAATTATTATGTATCTATAGTCCTTCATCCATCTAATATCCCAAATACCACATATTGGGCATGGTGCTATCAGGCCCATCCGAAATCTATTCGAGTCTCCCTCTAATCGGATTCTCCCTGAGAACTCATTCTCTCTCAACCCGAACGACCCTATCTAGGGATTTTCCTGAGCGAGAACACATGTGACATTCCTTTGATGGCACCAAGAGTGGATGATCCTATATTAATATACAATTGCCCTCATAAGATTGGCTATCACTTTTGATGACCAATTGTGTTAGATTTGAAACTTCCAAACTAGTATGGTATCAAAGAGTGGAGTACTCATACAGGGCATCCTTGATATCTTAAGTCTAAGGATCAAATACATAACTGGGACTACGGAACCGTTGTTTGATGATGATGCATTATTAACTATCCAACATTCCGTAAGTAAATCATTTAGTAAACATATTCTCGAATGAACACTTGCACCATATCCATAGTGTCATCACACAAGTAGTTATGATACCAGCTACATTCATCATATGGATAAGTATATAATACATCAGTCTCTCTGGTTATCTCGATGTTCTTTTCAAGTAACCTATGATCGAGAATAATTATGGTCATTGTTTATAGGTGAATTAGTCTTATTATCATGATTTTATCATGATCCAATTCTCATTGTACAAATCCATGTACATATATTAGTTAGGCAGTATAAAATAAAAAATATAATAATAATAATAACTAAAAAGACTATGCATCGTATCACATGTGTCATCACTCACGTGATTAACCTATAGGGCACTTGTTACTAGTAAGATCCTCATCAAATTATCTTGCTTAATGGATGCTAGATTCTTATCTAATAACCACTTTAAGCCCTATCGAGTCTCGCCCAATTAATCCAATAAAACAATGACTTATTGGATATCTCATATCCAATCATCTACAGGTCGTATTGTCTATTATATGTGTATGACCCTCTAGGCTCAATATCAACTTAGCCTGAGTTGCACCTATCAAAACTCCTTATGACTCAGTAAATTATTATCCTCATAATAATTCACTCAACATATCGACTATGGATGTACTAGACCACTATGCTATAGTCCTCAAATTGTACAGAGGGATATAATCCATTAGACCTATCTGCTCTCAATTACCATGTATATAAAGTTCATCATTCATCTATTATTCTAGAGACCATACACCGAGTCTGGTACTGTCAAGCCCATATGGAATTTATCCAAGTCTTACTCATCAGATTCTCTTATAGAACTTTTCTTTTAATCCGAATCTCACGCTTATTGGATTCATCATGATCTGATCGACCCTACCTAGGGATTTGTTTGAGAGTACTTAGGGTATTCCTCTCATGATACCGATAGTGGATGTTCCTCTATTGACACTCAATAGCATTCGTAAGGTTAACTACTACTCTCAATGATCGACTGTGTTAAATGTGAAACTTTTAGATATATGAGTCCAGTATTAAAGAATGAAGTACTCAAATAAAACATTCTTGGTGTCTCAAGTCTAATGACCAGATACATAATTAGGACCATAAAATCGTTGTTTGACAATGATATATCATCAACCATCCAACGTTTCGTAAGCGGAATATTAAGTGAACTCATTCTCCAATAAGTACCTATATTATATCCTTAGTGTTCCCACATAAGCAGCTATGAGACCAACTATCTCTATCATATAGATGGGTATATAGCACACTAGTTTGTCTAATTATTTTAATATCCTTTTCGAGTAACCTATAACCGGAATATCTAAGATTTATGTTTAAAGACTAATTAGTCTTATTATCATGATCTCATCATGATCCAATTCTCATTGTATAAATACAAGGATATCATAAATAAATAAATAAATAAATATATATATATATATAATATAAAGTAAGAAAATATCATAAGAATAATAACTAAAAAAATTATACAACGTGTCACACGTGCCTTCACATGTGATTAACTTGTTAGGCACTTGCAGCCAACATGTTCTAGAGCCAACTATTTAATCTCGCATCGATATCAGGTCATACCAATCAAGACAACATGAATTAGACCTACTACTTAACAGGTCTATTTTCTTTACTTTTGATAAATGCATGCTAAGTTCCACTAAGTTTTAGAATAATACTAACTATAATGATATTGTGCTATAAAGCATATTGACACTATAGTGAAATCACAATAAGTTTGGATTAAACGATTATAATTGAAATAGATCATTATAAGGCAAGTTCGTTGACTAAAGTTTACCCTTAACATTTTATTAAATGTGGTCTTGTTTCCTCTCACAGTAGGTCATCTATATCTTTGGATGATTTGTTGACCCGATAAGTCTGTTGACTAAAAAGTACCTATTGTCTTCGATTGACAAGTTGAGTGAAAGGGTTAGAGTTAGGGAGAATTCAGCAAGAGTGGTCTCAAGATGGTAGGTGAGCATCCGAGGTAGCTCATAAGTCAAACTGAGATATGCTCTAACCTCCTTAAGATTCTAGGGTTAAGCCGAGATGAGCCTTGTCTCCTCGTGGACCTTGCATAAAAGGTCAACGCTAGGGGCTGATTTCTCGACCCGACCATTTGGGTCTTCATGATGAGGTGATAGGGATAATATTGGTACCCTCTAGCTCCCTTCGTCACGTGAACTAAAAGATAATAAAGATATGAAAATCAACGATCATTAATGATAGCATGCCCTAGCCTCCCTAGCCACCTCTTGGCTGACATCTCATTAATGCCTCTGCCATTTAAAATACGAGGGGCCTTGATTAAAAGTGTGTCCAGATCGCTCGGGGCCTAGGTATAAAAAACATGCTCATGGATAAGTGCTAGGAGGGGGAAGCAGGTAATAATCTCTCTACTCTCTCATTTATACAGCTCATGCTATAGTCTTTCTCCCCCTCTACCTTGCGTTGACTTAAGCATCAAAGGGGACGAGTTAGAAAGCCCCCGACGTAGACCTATTGTGCAGAACCATTGACGACCAGGAAATAGCCCCAATGCTAGGAGATGACCTCGCTGTTAGGAGACGACCATGCTGCCAAGAGATGACTGATAGTTAGGAGATGACCTCATAGCAAGAAAGACCCATATTCCTTTGCTCGACCTCTTCGTTCTAATGCGACATTGCTCTTAGCAAACCGTCTCCCTAGCAGACCTCCTATGTTGGCTTATCACGTCAATCCCCCACATAAGCAATGAGGAGACATCGGGATACACTTGCACATTCGATAATAAAATAATCGGGCTGACTCACCGGCCAATGGTATACATGGCATATCAGGAGGTGTTAATGCTATGAAAGTCGGGATATAGTATGGTGTGTTAGGGTGACGTTGAGCTTTTCTGTTGCGCATGGTTGCAAGCATTAACCGGGAGAGTAGGTACACCATCAGAGAACATACCTAGCTCTAAGATTTATCCGGTCGCAACTTATGCATCAACCAATATTAAGGGCCTCCATATCAAGCATTACAGATGTTCCACTCAACTCTCCAGACTCTTGGCAGTAAGTAGCACATCAAAGGATGGTTTACAGTAACCATGGTGGAAGAACACGTCGGCCACAACTTTGTACATTGCTTCGGTCAGGTGGACTCCATCCCAGTTTATGAACTTGTTAGGTTCAGGGCAGGCTGTGGTAACATTTGGGGAGCCACATGTGGCAAATAGGTCAAAATTATAAGGATCACCCCCGCTACCGCAGCAAACCTTTAACTTCTCCGTAAAACCATACGCTGCTGGGTGTTTCATCACGTTATGGTGTGCACCCAGGAAGTCAGCATATGAGATGATAGCTTCAGGAAATCGGTCCCTTAGTTCTTGTAACTCGTTCTGAACAATGGCATTATGGTTGTAGCTTTGGCGGTTCACGCTTGCAACACAGCCAATGTCATCTCTGTCGTCGGACGGTGCCAGCGTCAAGGTTAGTGGTAGACACCCTGTCAATGGCAAACCTTGAACCACAATGTACTTGGCGCCTCTGATTAGCAGAGCCTGTCGACCAATGCAAAATAAAAATATGAGAATATATGTTCATTTTCCGAAGAAGAAGAAGAGTTCATGATCTTCATCGAGTTGGGAAACAAAACCCACATTCATCTTCTTTAGCCAAATAAGTCATCTGAATGTTCTTTGCTGTAACGATCTTAATAAGATTTTCTTTTCTTTTGATGAGACAGTTCCATAGTTTGATTTTGTTGACCGTCAGAGGCAGCATTTTATAGACCGGTGAAGAATTCAATGGTCAGTGGTCAGTTGTTTCTATCTCATATTAATATCGGAAGTTGCTCATTAGCAAAAAGAGTAGCTTGTGTTGGTGGGCGGAGAGAGTTTCTGCAAGTACCGGTAGGTAGATGGAGAAACAGATGAAATATCCTTTCTGTAGGCTTCTAAAACAAAAGAGAGAGAAAAACTCAAACCAATATTTTTTGATTAGGATATGTACATATGAATGTGCTAGTATTAAACGAGTGGTCGTATGCTGTGTACAATAGTTGTTGTTCTCATTTGTTCTTGCTTTATAGATGGTGTTGTGTCAGAAAAAGATTTAAAAGGCTATTTACCGGTCACGAGACAAAAGGGTCGGAATGTACAAACCTCTACAAAGTCGAAGACCTTCTTGACGGCAAGTTGCTGAATGACGGTGGGGGACAGGGTCGATGTAAAACCATAAGCGTAGTCGTTGGCTCCGATCTCACCCACCCAGAAGAGCGCGTCTGCTGTCGCTGCTCGACACCGACGTGATCCCTTCGTCTTGCAGCCTTTCTCCTCCAGGTATTTGTCAAACCACATGAGCTGTGTCATTAGAGACTGGGGGGTGATATCGATCGTGACGTTGTTCTTCACAAAGAAGTCATGTTCGATCGCTGTGGATCCAGCAACCGCAAAGTTGACGCCGTGGGAGAAATCAGCAGCCCTGTAGAGGTATGGTGGCAGGAACGGAAGCGAGAGCATGGAGGCGAGGAAGTCGACCACCAGGCGGCCATCGGAATACCTGTTGGTGGAGTGGCGAAAGAAGGTGGTACCATAGGGAGGCGAGGAGACGTATCCAAAGGAGTATGGACCCGTGGTCGAGTGGGTGTTGCCGGTGTCGGTGAAGGAGTCTCCAAAGGCATAGATCTTTGAGAAATGGCGTCGCCGCTGCGTCGCACCAGTTGCAGAACCAGTAACGAAACAGAAAGAAGTCGGTGGTAGAACGAGGAGGAGGAAAGAGATGGTGATGGTGACGGAGGGATGAGAGCCAACCATCGTGCCGGTTGAGTCGGGAGCCTCTCTCTGCGGTTGGTGTATGAACTAGCGAAGGGTTGTTTATATAGTCGGATGGATGCGGAGCAGCTCAAGTCGTCTGGTGGTGTCAAAATCATTTGCTCATAGTAACTTGTTAACCTAACCTTATTCAATGCTTCCGTCGAGGTGAAAAAAATTAGAAATGGGGAGTTGGTGAGCACCATTTATGCACGGAGACATGGTGGGGGATTGCATGACATGAAGTGCATGTTAGTGTGATTCCATACTTCACTCGAGAGCTAGAAATGCGATCGTCGGTGCGGTAAATCCTTGCAGAAAATGTTGCTTGGTGATAAGCTGGTGTGGTTGGGAGATTGATGGTGCTTGAAGGTTGTTTTTAATGTTCTGAGAGGAGGAGGAAGAGGAGGTAGTTGGGGTGGCGATCAATTCTTTCGGTGAATTTATCATGTGGCAGGGGAGCTCCGACCAACCATCCTAAGACGGACTTCTGCAATGAACGCTCACATCCCTCCTCCGGATTACCTGTCTTGCCGGGCATGTGGGCGGCGTCCGGTGCAAGTTCATGAAACGGTGCGTGCATATTAATGATCGTCCAGTCTTTGATTGCATCGACAGGAGTGGTGTGGCAGCTCATCTTGTAAGGGCTCACTAAATATGCTAACGACGACACGCATGTGGGCGATCACTGCAACGCAGGCACAGTAAAAGATGTGATCTAAAAAATATAAGACTCAAAAGATAGATAACCAGTGATTATAATACACCTTACAAGAAAGCTTTATGCTCCCATCGGCGAGGATAAAATGTATCTCTACTGACAAAATATTAACTCTACGCAACTAATAATACAGATTTAGTTGAGCTTATAATTCTAACAACACAACGAGAGCTTATGAGCAGCAGGCAACAATTGTTCTGCATGGCCAGGTGGGTCGGTGTCATCGAGGATTACCTGTATACCATCGGAAGCTTATGGTTAATATCGAGGCTTGAGTAGGATCAGAAATAATGTGTCTTCGATGTGCTATAGGAATGGTTGAGATGGAAAGACCTCTGATCTATCTGTTGACTTGGATAAACTCCTTATACTAACGTATCTTGCAGAGTAGCGCTAATATTTGATCAGAATATCGAAAAATAGAAGAGACATGCGACCAAATGTCGAAAGTTGCAGAACTAAAATTAGTATTCATCTTGTTCTCTTCAGCTAATCTTTAAAGATGCCGACGCTTTCACGACATTCCCGGCCTACGTTGCTTCTATAATATATGCACGAATGCTCAACTTTATTCTCAAGCTTGCTTGGTTCTTGGTTTGGAATCTTCCTTCCATCCTCATTTGCACCTCCTTGACGCATTATTTGTGTAATCATCCACTCGAATGATCAACATATTATTTTCTTCTTCTTCTTCTTCTTTTCTACTAATTAACGACAGCTTTTATATCTAAAACATGGCGTAAAGATACCCTTTTTCTACTACTCCTTTTATCTCGTGATTGTGTACATACGTCTACAGTGTGGGTAACTAAAAATGATACTGAGAAGGGAGAGCGGTGAGGAGATGGATCCCTCGGCATACGGGGGCCCAATGACCGTGTCACCCTGAAAATTGTCGGGGCTGACTCGCTCGTGTACGCCACGCAGCGTCCTCCGCGTCCGTCTACTTGACCTTCCTCTACCAATTGGTCCACACACGCGGTGGTTGGTCACGAGGGTAAGCGGGACCCACGAAGGAGCCCTCTGGTAGGTGATGCCGGTAATTGCCGGTGGCTGAAGGAGTATCAGAGCTGCCACCCACTTGTGTTACCCAAAAGCAGCACCCTCACCTATGGCGACGAATCTGCTGACCGCACGCATCGCTTCCTCGCCGATCTCCGCCTCCATTTAACACCTAAAATCGACTCCTTCAAGCCCTTTCTCTGTGCACCGCGCCCAATCTTGACCCACCCTCTTTCGATCATCCTGTCGATCCGAGATGTCTGCCTACTGCGGCCAGTATCACGGTATTGCCCCTGACACATCTCCTCCTCCTCTCCGACAGCGTAGATTTTCACGAATTCTTTTTGTCTTTGCTTCTTCTTTCTTTGGGGGACATTTGATGTTTTTTTAATCCTACCTCGTGGTTTTCTGGATCTTCACCGGCTGGATTTCATAAAGCAGGAAACTTTGGTTGGTTTGTTCGTTGGATTTGTGTTTTTCGTAGATTTGAACTGGGTTGCATCTATCGATTGAGTTCTTTTTAAACCTTTGCACACATATGATAGTTTCTTTTACTATTATGGATCGATCAGAGTATGGGGAATCCAGGTTTCGTGGCTTCATATTTAGCTTAAAAGCGTCTATCTTTGATGGTCGGGCCGTAATGTTCGTATTGGTTACACAACTTGCTCCTTTTTCGCTTTATAAGTATTATTTATAGCTCTACTTCGTATGATTACTTTGTTAATTATATGTATGGCCCATGATCCTATTTTGCTGCTGTTTATCAGGAAACCACCTTGGTCTTTAGGGTTCAAGCTTTTATGACGAAAAATGTTCTAACCATCTGCATTACATTGACACCTACATATCCTGAATTTTGCCGTCTCACTTTTGTTTCTTCCTTCTATCGTAGTTCTTCCAACCCAATTATCTGTATTCTTGCTGCACTTTTTCGTCTGTTATGTACTATGTTATATTTTCTCTGTATGATTCGTTTATGGTCACAATTGTATCTTAATCCTCTTCAGATCATCAAATCAAACAGTCAAAAGATTCAGTTGAGGAGTCTAATTCTTGCCGTTCTTCCAATATATTTAACTGCTAAAAATCGTTCTTGAATTAGTGTTGTCCACGTGAGCTGTTAATTATTTGCCAAGCAACTATCTGACATTGGTAATTTTCTTTATATAATATAATATTCTCTTTTTCTTTTTCTTTTTTTTACCGTAAACCCATTATTCTGATCTAGCAATTTGACTACCCTTAGCTTTGTCCCAGTGATATAAAAGGTTCTATACTTCTGGTCTTGTATAAATAATCCTATCCAATCTTTCATTCCCCATGCTTTTCCGGTAACAAGTAGGTAATGTAAGTCTATGTTGAGACGCACTGTTGCACAAATGAGAGGTTTCATTTTTGAATCCATGTAAACATCTTGTATGCAGTTTATTGTAATAGAAAAAATGTAACTTTTTAAATAGTTTATTGTAATGGAAGAAACTTTTTATTTGTTTTGGAAAAAGAGTAAGCAACAGAAAAGATATTATGCAAAATTAAGTATATACTTGGAAGACTCCGAGTGTTTCTAGGCCTTTAATCAAGATAATTTAAAATATTCACGTTAATCTCTTGGTTTCTAATAACCAACACTTTAGGACTCATTTCATGTTAATTCTAAGACTAATGCCTCATATATTTATGAGGCATATTATACACAGTTAGAAAGCTCAATAAGTCATGAATCTGAAGCATTTCACAAACTCTATTTTGAAGTTTTCTAAAAGAAGTCATGTTCATTTTTCTCTATAAAGGTCGTGGTTGTTAATCTAACCAAGAATTAAAGAATATTTTATCGCTGTTTGAAGCTCCTAAACAGTTTTTTAATTATTCTATAAGCCTTTAATTAGTTTTACAATTATATTTTTCTTAAAAATGATGAAAAATTAGTGCCTCGAGAATCGCATATATCATGTCTTGCAAGCATAAAATAATTTGAAGACAAGTCTAGCTTTTTTTAGAGGTTGTCTCCTTCTCATACAATGGATTCCTTAAGGGTGAGTACTTCCTATGTCTTGTATCCCTAGTTTGTATCTCTTGGGTATTTTATTTTGATTGTTAGTTTGCTTACTTTCCCTCTAACCCTTTCTATTTCTTTCCTCTCCATTTCATCATCAAAATTTGTTTTAGGGCTTTGGTTGTCATGATTGGGCATCACCAACATGATCATAATGTCAAAGAGCATCATGATCATAAAGAGATCTTCTTGACAGTTATATCTTCTTGACATGGGAGAAAATAAAGACTAACTTAAGAAGATATATCTTCTTGACAATTATAGGCAACATGCTTTTCTCGAGTTTCACAACCTTAGATAGAAGGAGCCTTCCTTTTAAGAGTATGCAATAGAATTTGATCTTTTCATGATGAAATGTGATCTTATTGAATCAGAGGAGCAAATGTTCTTGGAAATCCTACTCATTTACAAAGCTGGTATAGTGACATGTATAGGCAATAGGTAAATGTCTAAAAAACCATGGCATACTATCACATGTCAACATGGTCCATGTTCCAGCATATTAATGACAGTAGTTATTTGTGAAGAAAAAAGTTGCATTGGGATGGTGATGAATGATTATGAAGCAGCTTATGCACTCGCAATATCTTCATGGTTGGCTACTGATTCCAACTATGCTGATTGTATATGAGTGCTTGGGAATCTGCATCTGTTATTGCCCTTTCATCATAATTATGTTGGTCAGATGTCTAAACCTGCACAAGCATCAACATGTAGTTTCCTTACAACATTGTTGGAAGCTGTTTTTTATTTTAATCACTCTTGTACTTAGGTCCAAGAGAAAAAAGTCTCAGTGAAGACTAATCAACTCCAATATGTCCATCAACATTTAATTTAAGGAGAAGTTATGTTTGCTGCTGTGTGTCAATACATTTTAACTACTGCTAGAAATCTTAGCGAGACTCCGAGTTGTTGCTGATAACTTTTTTGTTTCTTCTGTAACCAGCCTGGAGTTCCTGGCAGTACTAATATGCTTGAACCTTCTGAAGAATGCTTAGTAATAATGAACTATCAACATGTGGTCGAGTTTTTTGAGATGACACTGAAATATTTTTAAAAATGAGCAAAGCTTTACAGTAGCTAATTGTAAAATTGGTTTCAATTGGTTCATCCAGTGGTTTCATGGTTCACTCTTGCAATTACTGCAAGAAAGAAGGTAAATTATGTTGTTTAGAATCAGGCTGACACAAGTTTTAGTTAGATATCATCCAGTGGTTTCTTCTTTACAATTTTCACATTTGTGCTTCTATTTCCTATTCCTTCCAGAACATATGTTATCATCCGGTTTGATAGGATCATTGATCCATTAACTAACTACTAACTCAAAAATGGTTAAACTCAAGTTTTTCAACATAAATGATATTTTTATTTATATATTTTTTATCATAATGTTTTATCTGATTGTTTATGTGTTCTTTCCCGTTATATGTAAATTTATGCACAAATGAATACCAGTTTGCATTCCTTCATTTTGCAGATGAGCTTATTGCCAATGCTGCATACATTGGCACCCCTGGCAAGGGTATCCTTGCTGCTGATGAGTCCACTGGTACAATTGGCAAGCGCTTTTCCAACATCAATGTGGAGAATGTCGAGGAGAATCACCGAGCTCTCCGCGAACTACTCTTTTGCACCCCTGGAGCCCTCCGGTACCTCAGTGGTGTCATCCTCTTCGAGGAGACCCTCTACCAGAAGACAGCCAGTGGGAATCCTTTCATCAAAGTCCTCAAGGAGGGGGGAGTCCTTCCTGGTATCAAGGTAGACAAGGGTACCATTGAACTTGCAGGTACCAATGGTGAGACCACTACCCAGGGTCATGATGACCTGGGCAAACGCTGCAAGAAGTACTACGAGGCAGGGGCTCGCTTTGCCAAGTGGCGTGCTGTTCTCAAGATCGGCTCAAATGAACCATCGCAACTGGCAATTGACGCAAATGCTAATGGATTGGCACGCTATGCTATCATCCGTCAGGAGAATGGTCTCGTCCCAAACGTAGAACCAGAGATCCTTGGTTGATGGGCCACATGATATTGCAAAATGTGCTAAGATTACAGAGTGGGTGCTCGCTGCATGCTACAAGGCACTAAATGACCACCATGTTCTTCTGGGGGATCTCTACTGAAACCAAACATGGTGACACCAGGGTCAGAATCAGCAAAGTTAGCTCCTGAGGTGGTTGCTGAGCATACTGTGCAAGCTCTCCAGAGGACCGTTCCTGCTGCTGTCCCTGCGATCGTCTTCCTTTCAGGAGGACAAAGCGAAGAGGAGGCTACACTGAACCTGAATGCTATGAACAAGCTGCAGGGGAAGAAACCACGGTCGCTGTCCTTCTCGTTCGGTCGGGCTCTGCTGCAAAGCACACTCAAGGCATGGGCAGGTAAGGAGGAGAATGTTGAGAAGGCAAGGACTGCCTTCCTCGCCAGGTGCAAGGCAAACTCAGAGGCAACACTTGGGTCATACAAGGGTGATGTTGCTGGGGGTGAGGGTGTCTCAGAGAGCCTCCATGTCAAGGCCTACAAGTATTGATCACTTTCTACCAACACCATTTTTTTTTCATGACATCTGAGTTTGAAGTAATGCTGGAACCAGGGATCTTCAATCTCTGCTGCTTAAATAAGTCCGGAGGCATTGTGCCTTGAGGATTTACTGTTTAGGTTTTCGTCATCAGTTAAAAGGGTATTTGTTTTACTTGCATGGCTGATTTTTTGCTTTCTTCCATTCAGTGTTTTCAGAAGAGTTGGACCATGTTTTCTCTGCCAAAAGGAGATGTGCCTCTTTCAGTTGATGATAGCATTGCTCAGGATTGGATAATGTCTTTTGTTTTATTATCTGTATCTGTGTATCTGTGAAGGATTATCTTGGACCGCTGGAGATACCATCAACCTACCTACCTTATTCTTCTTTTTCTTATATCATTGATATTTCGATTTATTGTATGGATTTTTATATACGTATGAGTGAGATCTTTATCCTTTTCTTCTTCTTCTTCTTCTTCTTCTTCTTCTTCTTCTTATATCAATTCACGTCCTTTGATCAATCTTCTTTGATGACACATTTACTGATTAAGGATTCTCTAAACTTAAGTTCATTTCCAAGTGACAAATTTATGTTTAGCATGTGTACATAAGAGTCCTGTAAATTGTAAGAACTTGCACACACACACATGTATACGTACATCATAATGGTTGAAGAAGTCAAAGGTGTGAAGTCCAATACTGAGGTGTGTTTATCCATCCAATAGGATCTCCCAGATTAAAAAGGACATAACAGTAGCATATATGTATGTATATATATATATATATATATATATATATATATATATATATATATATATATATATATATATATATACAGCAAGTTCCTGGTCGTATTATAATGATTTAAAGTATGGCGTCAACCATCGCAGCTGAATGGCATCCACGGGTTGCTTGTAGAACCAGAAGACATGGCCCTGTTTGCGAACCGTTTGATGCCTTGCCTCCTCACATCCCCCTTCCTTTCTTTTTTATTTTCTTCTTCTTTTGGCTTTCTAGCCCTCTATAGAAGCACCACCACTCTTTTGTCTCGCCTCCTCCATGATCCATCCTCCAATTCCTTGCTCCGCCTCACCATGCACGGTGAGAACCGAGCAGGCCACTCGTCTCACCACCAGCCGGCGCAGGGGCAGCCCCAGCCGCCGCAGACTGCCAAGCTCATCATCCGGCCGCAAGCGTCGCCCCCGACTCACCCTGTCGCATGGTTCGTGGCGGCGTTCTGCACTTTGCTCTGGGTCGCCATCATCCTCGGCGGGCTCGCCGTCCTCATCATCTACCTCGTCTTCCGGCCGAGGAATCCCCGGCTCGAGATCTCCAGCGTCACCCTCAACGGTGCCTACATCGACGTCGGCACCCTCAACGCCGACCTGACCATCCTCGCCAACTTCTCCAACCCCAACGAGAAGGTGTACGTGAGCTTCAGCTACATGCAGCTCGACCTGTATTACCAAGGCACCATGATCGCGACGCAGGCCGTGGAGCCGTTCGAGGAGGGGAGGGGGGAGTCGGTGCTGCGGACCGTGCACATGATATCGAGCCAGGTGCCGCTGCCGGGGAAGGTGGCCGACGCGTTGCGGGGCGGAAAGATGGGGGAAGGGTTGTCCCTGGAGTTGGTCGGCTCGTTCCGCACCAGATTGGATCTGGGGAGCTGGTTGCACTACACGTACTGGCTGCATGGCCGCTGCGACATCTTCGTCGGGGGCCCGCCAAACGGAGCGCTGCAGTCCAGTAGGTGCACCACCAAGCACTGATACGGAGAGCACCGCCGTCTCGTTATTACTCCCGCCACCGCCGCCTTTTATTTCTTCTACTAATCTTCCTTATTTCTGAAACGTGTTTTCTTTTACACATTACTACTCCCTCGGACGCTCGTTTACTTGCATTATCAATTCAATACTCCTTTTTCTTTCGTTTGCTCGATCGATCACTTCCCACGTTATCACCTACCGAGAGAACAACAATACATATCATTCGTTTGCTCGATCGATCACTACCCACATTATCACCTACCAAAAGAACAACAATACATATCAGATTTACCGGAACCATTGGTGAGCCCACAACACATCGTCGCAAATCTCTCACCAGTGTGTAATTCTCGTTTATTTGCATTATCAGTTCAATACTCTTTATCTTTCGTTTGCTCGATCGATCACACTTCCCACATTATCACCTAAAGAACAATACATACCACATTTACCGGAACCATTGGTGAGCCCACAACATCATCACAATCTCCCACCAGTGAGTAATTCACGTTCCAACGTCGATTCATTTTCATTTTCATTCCATACTTCGAGGAATTAAATATGGGAAAACAAAACAATAAACAAGACTAATTGGGCTAGCCATACAGGTGGGTTCTAGTAGCTCTCATGACCACACCAGGTGACGATGAGCTGTCTAATATCTATGGCGATTCTTGGTGAAGAACGGATGCCCGAGGGCTTCTAGAGCCGTCATTCGTTCTGAGGGCTCGTACCTAAGGAGGCCTTGCAAAAGATCTATAGCATCACCTGCCGAGTGATCCACATGCTGCATAACAATGTTCTGCATGTTAAAAGAGTTGGAATCCATCAGATCATCATGCTTCAGTAAAATCTACCAGCAAAGAAATCTAAAGTGCAATGTTCATGAATATGCCGACTTAGGGTTAGTTTGTGTTCACCACCTACGATAAATGCCCCGCGCTGCTCACCTGAAGACGAGGTAGTTTCTGAACAGCTTTGATACTCTCCCTGGATGCAGCACCCTCTGGCCAGTTCAACCGACCTCTTCTGACGTACTTCTCGGCATGTCGGCTGTTTTATTTATACCACAAACGGAAGTAATCAATTATGGAGCGATATGACTCCCAAGAGAGGAAACATAAAGCACTCTTGCTGTTCACAATTCTTACTCGGCTCTCTTCAGCATATTCTGTGGCAGAGGACCTAATACCCTTTCCATCATGGCCATGTGCTCTAAGTTTTCATGGGTCTGAAACAGTGCCTCCCCCTTGAAACAAAGCGGGACAACCATCAGGCTTATAAGCTTTCAAACAAAAAGAGAAAATTTGAAGACAATAATACCGAGCACAGTTCTACAAGGATGCAGCCAACACTCCACATGTCACATGGATAGCTCCATCCAAGTCCTGACGACAAAGTTCACAAAGCACAGCCTGTTAATACATTTTGACAGATTAAGCAATGAATGACTGGTCAAAAATCAGATGCATACCCAAGATAACCTCCGGAGCACGATAATGCCTTGTGGAAACTATGTAAGTATGGTCCTTGCGGTCATAGGTTGCACTGCCAAGATCAATTAACTTGATAGCACTAGATTTTGGCAATCGCTTGGAGAATGAACCATCCTTTTAATACAGGGAAAAGATAATTTTAGTTTGACTAGATCAAATAACCGCAACAGAATATGACAACCAACATAAAGCTAGTCTTCCACAAATGAAGAGTACAAGCATATACCTTATACTCAGATACTTTGATGTACTCAGGGGAGACAAAAAGGATGTTCTCAGGTTTTAAATCCGTGTGAATGAGGTGCAAGTCATGCATAACTGTAACAACACCAAGAAACAACTAAGAAAAGCATAAACCACTTCAACAAAACAAATGGCACAAGAGCACAAGAGACCACTTCAACATTTCAGTTGACTGAAAAGGAAGCAGACAAACAAGAAGTTAACTAACCCAAAAGAAGAAATGATAAACGATCAGAAAACAACTAGTTAAAACCCACAGGGCAGGAAGAAATAAAGCCACAAGAAAGAAAAAGGAAATCACTGACAGAAGTAAGCCCAATGGAAAAGAAAAGGTTTGAAGTGCTTTCTACACACATGCAACAGATTCCAACAGTTGTCTCCCAATCTCGCGAACTAGGTCAATGGGAAATGGGCGATAAGCATTTTTCCGTAGGAAATCGTATAAGCTTGGTCCAAGCTTCTCAAATACCTGTTAAAATCATTTAGATTCCTGGATAATTTAACTCCCCAAGAGGATCGTGTAAATTGGGGAAACTGCTACAAAGCAATCATATACTTACGATACAGATATGGTTACGATAGTCAAACCAGTTCCGTATTTGCACACAACTGCAAAATAGACCCATTTTCACATGTAACCTTAACTCTATTAAAATGCAAACCAGATATAAGGACAAAAAGTTAACCTAGGAAACCAGGTGAAACAGAAACTCACCGATTGCCAGTCTTATCATGTTTCCCAAGATGCTGAAGCACATCAACCTCTATCATGGCAGCCTCCCGATATTTCTTTATGGAACGAACAATTTTAATTGCTACCATCTCTTTCTTTTCTCGATCCCAACATTCCAAAACCTGACCGAAGGTACCTGTGCAATGCCCAAAAAGCATCGATGTTCAGAAATTTGTTTTAAGGTTTTCCAGAACTAAACGGCACAACTCTATTGATATTGAAAGAAAAGAAACCAACCTTCACCAATTTTACTATAGATCTTATCTGCAACCAAAGATCAAGAGAAAAAAAAAAAAGAATAAGATGTTTGCATGTGTTGCAGATTAAAGAATAACATTCAAGAGAAGTACATCAACTACTCAAAAAAAGAACTCTTTCAACTTTAGAAAGCAAAATAGATATATAAAATTAAAAAATAAATTATAAAAAGTGTCAGTCTCAAAAACTAATTCAAAGTTCTAAAACACGTTCCAAGTCGAGAGCAGGAGACCATGCAACCATTTGTGAAAATAGTTTTACAAGAAGGTTTCATTGAAAACATTTGGAAACATCAGGGAGAAATAAAAAATACTACAGTCAGGCACTAAAGCACTTCCACGTCAAATGTGTTATAAAGAATTTTGGAAAACTTTTATGCCAGCACATAGAACATATCAAGATCAATAATCAGCCAACTGCCAATACTGGCAAAACAATCCCGGAGAAAGCAGAATATGCCTCCTAGAATAACATACTAGGATCGTTACAGAAAACATACTTCAAAATCTTTACACATTGAATATTATAGCACCAATAAACAAACAAAAATAAGCCAATGCGACTGAATAGAATGAAGAAAATATTTACAGGAATTCAAAATTTAAAATCTACACACACACACATGCATCATCTTCATCTAAAACCTTTAGAATGCCCAATCACAAAAATGAAGAACAAAGAATATTGAAAAAGCTTAAACGATAAAATATTGGTAAATAAGTAATTACAGCGAGAAGTCAAATTCTCTCCGACAGCAAACATATAATGCCCATCTTTATCATCCTCTCTCCAAGGGGGGGAAGCATTTCGAGCCACTCCCTTCGAATACAGAGAAGAACAAGTATGGTCTGAAGGTGCCGTTGATGAAATCAAGCTGGTCACATCTCCAACTTCTTGCCCACATAACATTCCTATTTGAGCCTACACACAGCCATTCATTCATTTTTTTCACTTGAAAAACAAAACGTGATTATGATTTCACTTATTCCCTCAAAATATCCTTTCAAATAGTTAATTCAGCAAATATATTAATCCCACAATGAATCAAACAGAGATAGCAGCTCGAAGATATGCATCCAGAGTTAAAGAAGTGACCTCTAAGATACCTAATAAAGAAATTACAGTAATTTACACCAAAAATTAAATATCCAAATCAACATTTCCACGAAAAAAATGTTCCTTAAAAGCTACCGTTCTCATGTCAACAGCAACAAACAAGCAACAAAACTATTGATCGGTGCATCCGGACAGCAATAATGATAGGGGCAGAATACTAATTGCACGAGATCTTACTTACACCTAAATTTCCAGAAAGAAGGAATAAAAGTATATACTTTAAATCGATAGCTGACCAACATAAAAATAGCCGAGCTGAGAAGAATGAAAATCCGATGCAACAAAAAACTTGCAACAAATTCAATCCACTAGCAGAACCAAATTATCAGATCAAAAAATAAACTCAATCACAGCGTATAACAAAAAGAAGACCAAATTTGTACAACAGATCATTATCATCTAAGATCCAAGACGTGCTCGTACCAAAACAAGAAAAAACAACAAGAATCAACAAGACGATTTCGATGAGATGCATGTAGATCGTTACCAGATCCAGCAGTTGCCCCACGGTAACAGTCAAGTCAACCGAGTAATGGATCTAATCATACCTGACCTAAATGATCGCTAAATCCAATAAAACCCCAACGGATCTACAAGACTGGGACAAAAAAAGGACAAAGCTTCCAGAGATTCGGGAGAAAAAAGTTGTACCTTGGGATGCTGCGCGGCCTCCCAGCCTACCCTTGGCCGCTTCCTGGGGCGTCGATCCATGTGAGCATAGGGAAACTCCGCGAATCGCTCCATCTCCATGGCCGTCGAACAAGAATCTGGAGCCGAGAAGAAGGCTGAGGAAGAGAGGATCGAATTCCAACAGAGGGAACCCTAATCCGCCAAATAGAGTCAAGAAAGGGGGAAAGTGTGTGGGGGGTGGAAGACGCCTACCTAGGGACGGCTTTTATAGGATTGGCAGCATCACCGCCACGAGGTTTACGCACCCCCCGAAGGAAGGCTTGGGCCTGGAATTGGGCTTTGTATTATCCTATATAATTTCTTTCTAATATATATCGGGCAACGCCCTCTTAATTTTGGCACGACGTGGCGGAATGGAATGGGCGATGTCAAACACCCATTTTAGTAGTATGATAGATCGAATATAACAAAATAATAATGATAACAACGTATAAATAGTAATACTCCTCTTTTTTTTTTTTGTCTTTTGTAAATTTAATTCGATATATGTGTAACAAAGAGATTGCAAGAGAAGTCAAAGATCATCGATATGGGAAGAGAATAAGGGGAAAGATGTAACCCCAAGGAAGATCATCAATGGAGAAAATAAAAGGTAAAGAGAAATGGATGATGATATTAGATATGA